GCCACCAGCCCATGAAGGCAGGAGGAGCAGAAGGGGAGGCACAGGGCTCAGAAAGCCCGTGAGCATGATAGAAATGACCTCCGGGAGCCACTTCAGGGAGAGAGTTCAACTTTATTAGGGAAGAACAAAGACTACATAGTCCTTGAGCAGTAGGGGCTCCCCGGATGGTTGCATGTAAGTGGTTGCAACTAGGCACTTCAAGGATGCTTGATCTGCACTAAACGGGACGATGCTATCATAGGAACAGGGACACAGAACCTAATTATCCTATAGGCGCAGGGAGGGACGAGCTAGCAGGGAACTGTGTCGAAGGCCATATATCAGACATAGTCAGGGGCACCTATGCCTAAAGACACTCTCCAGATGAGGTCGGGCAGGGAGTAGGAGGCCCTGATGGGGAGAGGGAGTCCTCCAGATAACGCCAAGCTCAGAAAGGCTCTCTGGACCTGGAGGACTGCAACCTCAAGCGGCAGGGTTCAACAGCTGTTTAGAACTGAAATCATGGAGTGTGACACCCACTGAAAATAGTTTCTCTGGGATTCATTCCTGTTGCTGCACACACAGTAATTCTTTTTGGGAATGGGGCCTTCCTGTGTTGCCGAGGCTGGCTTTGAAGCCCTGAGCTCAAATGACGCTCCTGCCTTAGCCTGCCGAGCGTCAGACAGATGGATCCCACCATACCCCAAGAGTAATTCAGTCTTTTCATTGCTGCATAGTATTCTATTGTACAAACACACCATAATTTGTCAATTTTCCTTGTCACTGCGCTTTTCTTTCCTGGCTTCTGGCTCTTGTAGATAAGGCTGCTATGATATTATGCTCTGTTATACTACAGCATGTTTTATGACAGGCCGGCCTCAAACTTGCTCTACAGCAGTGGTTCTCAACCTTCCTAATGCTGTGACCCTTTAATAAAATTTGTCACGTTGAGCCGGGCTCAGTGGTGCCCGCCTGTGATGCCAGCCCTCAGGAAAGCAGAGGAAGGCCATGGATCTCTGTGAGTTCGAGGCCAGCATGGTCTACAAAGTGAGTCCAGGACAACCAAGGCTACACAGAGAAAGCCTGTCTCAAACAAAATTCATCATGTTGTTGTGACCCCCAACCATAAAATTATTTTTGTTGCTACTTCATAACTGCAAGTTTGCTACTGTTGTGAATCATAATATAAATATCTGTTTCTGGATGGTCTTAGGCAACCCCTGCGAAAGGGTTATTTGACCCCCCCGCCCCAAAAGGGTCATAACCCACAGGTTGAGAACTACCCTTCTACAGCCAACAATAACCTTGAATTTCTGATCCTCCTTCCTGGACCTCCCGAATACAGGAAATGACGAGGACTAAACCCATCAAACCCAGAGCATTTCACTTGTTTAGCCAAGCAGTCCACTGAGCTACACCCACAGGCCCCGAAAGTATTAGTCACTCCTCTACAGAAATCTTTGGTTTTTTGTTCTAGGAGCTACATCCTATGCTCACACGCCTCACAGTATGCTCTAGGTCAGCCTTTTCCATTTTAACTGAGTAGCCACTGATATCTTGTTTTTGTTTTCCTGTTTTATGGTGTGTGTGTGTGTGCGTGTGTGTGCACCTGTCTGCCTCCCTCTCTGTCTGTCTGTCTGTCTGTCTGTCTGTGTGTTTCTGGTGCTGAACCCAGGGTCTTAGAAATACTACCCAAGTAACAGTCAACCCCCCAATCCTCTGTGTTGCTTTAAATTCGAATTTTTCAAGTTGCCCTGAGTGCTCCATAGGTTAAAGGCACTTGCCACAAAGCCTGGCCACCGAAGTCTGATTTTTGGAACCCACAGGGTGGAAGGAGGTAGGATCAGTTCCTACAGGTCATCCTCTGACCTCCACACATGCGCTCATACGCTTACATACAACAAAAATATGTAGAAATGAGCAAGCTTCGCTTTGATTTTTGTTTTTTGAGACAAAACTTGTGTCATGGTGGCTGGACTGGAACTCACTTTTTAGACAAGGCTGGCCTTGAACTCACAATGATTTGCCTGCCTTTGCCTCCTGAGTCCTGAGATTTTGGATGTGCACCACATGCCCAGCAAAAGTTAAGAATTTTAAAAATATAATAAATTTGCATTGTCTCGGATGATATTGAACAGCTCTTCATAAACTTGTTGTAATTTAGATACATTATTTGCTTTTTGTTTGTTTTTAGGTTATTTTGTTTTAGTGCCAAGGACTGAACACAGGGAAGCACGCGACCTCTGAGCCATACTTCCAAGCCACCCATTCTCTTTCTTTTTCTTTTTCTTTCATGTTTTGTCTGAGACAGAATTTCACTATAGCCCGCGCTGGCCTGGGAACTCACTGAGGTCTACCTACCTCTGTTTCCCTAGTGCTGGGATTAGAAGTGTGCCACCGCTGCCTGGCTTGTTTTGTGTGCATGTGTACCTCTGCACCTGCTCGTGCATTCCTGCACACGTGAGTTCAGGTTCAGAACGGCCTTTCTCAGGGTGAGCTTTTAAAGCACAGAAACCATGCCCCGAGTTGGCATACTTCAGTTAACAAGAACAATTAGCCAGAAGCAGAACTACAGAAGCCAAAAAGCTAGGTCAGTAGTACATTTAAAGACTTTCCCAGAACTATGGCCTCTGATGGAGTAGGCCTTTGTTTTAGTTTTGGCAGCCAGTAGTGTCTACGTGCTGAGTTTTACAATGATGGAATGGCACTTCCATCATGGAGTCCGTTGTGCTAAGGTCTGGGTGTTTACCAAAGTCTGGAGCTCTGTTACGCTTCCCATCTCAGACACATCTGACTGCAAAATACTTGGGACAAGCAGTAGAACAGCTCAGTGGAGGCCAGCCACTCACAAAAACGAGAAAGGTGATAAATAACACGGGTATTGTTCCCCTTTAGCGTCTGAGGCAGATCTTACTATACAGCCAGCAGGCCTCAGGGTCACAAGCACTGCCATTATGGGTGCACACTGCTACAATAGCTAGTTGTGTCTTTTCCCCCAAGCCTCTTCCCTGATGGGGATGAAGGTCACTCTCCTACTGAGGACCGCAGCAGCTACTGGCTGGCTCCTTGCACAGACATAGCTCTTCTCGAGTGCCAGAAACAGCTTTCCCCCTCCTTGTGTCTCCCTCCTACCCTTCCTCCTTGCTTCTCTCTTTGGGGCAAGGCAGCAAGGGCTCCCTCAGTGTCGCTTCCCTCTGCCCTTCTCCACCTGTCACACAGAACAAAAACTTACAATCTCGGCTCGGCTGATGAGTCACTAAGCTGACTAGTCACTTGGCACACGTCTATCTCGTTCCAAGGACAGCCGTGCTGAACTTTTTCCACGGGTTTTGAGGATTCAGTCTCAGGTCCCTGTGTTTGCAAAGCACCTGCTCCGACCCACTGAGCCATCGATACAGCCAGGCCCCAGGCCTCCCCCTTACTGCCAGCCCATGCTTTCTCGTCTCTTGTGGTTTCCTTCAAGTCTACCTACACATGCAAACGGCTCCTTCCTTAAATACTCAGTTCCTCTAAGTAGTTTTGTTTGTTTGTTTGTTTGCTTGCTTGCTTGTTTGCTTGAGACAAAGTCTCATGTAGTCCAGGCTGACCTCAAAACTCCTAATATTGCGTTGGGTGTATGCCTGTGGTCCCAGTGTGGCATGCAGATCTCTGTGAGTTCCAGGCCAGCCTGATCTACAAAGCGAGTCCAGGACGGCCAAGGCTACACAGAGAAACCCCGTCTCAAAAAACCATAAACAGGCAACTATCTCCTAATATAGCTAAAAATAACTCTGAACTTCTGACCCTGCAGCTTCCACCCTCATATGTGCCAAGATCATAAACATGCCTAGTTTATGTAAAACTGGGGATCAAACCGAGGACTTCATGCACCCTAGGCGAACATTTTTACCAGTCGAGCTATATCCTCAACCCAAACATAAGGCTGTGTGTGTGTGTGTGTGTGTGTGTGTGTATGTCATGCACACATCTGTATGCCACGTGGGTGCTGTTACCCACAGAGGCCAAAGGAGGGCACCAGATCTCCTGGAGCTGAAGTTACAGGAGGTTGTGAGCTGGTGGTGTGTGTTCCGGGAACTGAGCTCAGGTCCTCTGGAAGAGCAGCAAACAATCCCAACAGCTGATCCATATCTCCAACCCCTTCCTCCATTAAGGCAGGGTCTCACCGTGTAGTCTAGGACAAGTGGAATGCCTTCAGACTTTGCAACGTGGGGCTCACAGGTGGGCACATCACACCAGAGCCAGCGCCTTGCATTTCATAAACAGGCTCCTAATGATAAACAGTATACCAAGAGGATGACTGGGGTTTTTGATTTTTGTTTTTGGGTTTTCAAGACAGGGTTTCTCTGTTACAGACCCCTGGCTGTCTTGGACTTTGTCACACAAAGAGCAAGGGACAGTACTGAGAGTCCACCACCCCAGCACGGAGGGTGGTAGGATGTTTTCAGCTTTGCCAGACTGCCCAGTCCTCTCCAGTACCCCTAGGCCTTGCTCAACAAGCCAGAATCTGTGATTCCTTTGTTAGGATGGAATTGAATTCCCTAGAGTTCCTGTCCCAGCCCTACTGGCCAGTAGCTCCAGTAACCAGAGCTGTGTGAGAAGAAAAGGCGAAGCCACTGGGGAAGCCACACCCCAACCAAAGGTGAGGTCTCAGGTGAGTCATGCCAAGGGCTACCGCTCAGCCCCGTCTTGCTCCTCCAAGCACCCACCGCCGGTGCCTCCAGCGCTCCACCCCCACCTGGTTAACACTGGGCTCTCGGCTCATCTCTCCCACATCCAACAGGCGTCCTGGAGCTAGGACATCTCCCCTACTTCCATTCTGAGACTCCAGATACGTGAGATGCTCTGGAGTTCTGGGTGGGGCCTTTGAGCCTTTTCCCCTTTCAGCCCCAGATCCTCTCAGATTCCTACAGATGGGCTCTAGCCAGCGAGGGTGGGGCTACCCCTGGGATCATCCGGAGGAACCAGCTACCTCGTCAGTGACAGAGCGGGTGGCAGGAAGCAGCCCTTCACCTGTCTGTGCCTTCAGCTGGCTCTAGCGGACCATGTCCCAACACCTGCTCCTCCCAGTTGTCATCCTGGGTAAGTTCAGGGGCTAGGGCTTACAAGAAGCCTGGGTACCAACACCTAGAGAGTTGAAAAGCAGGTGATGTATCCTGCATCCTTTACTGCCATGAGAGAGATACCAGAGGAGATGGTAGAGAAGTAGAGTGTCAACAGGATGAAGGAGAGAGTGGCAGAAGGAGGGAAGGACCATAGGAGGAGCCCGAGGGATCATATAGAAGGGGAATCAGAAAAGGAGTCCTGGGAGTCGTGGAGACACTTCAGTTAGTACTGGGTCGCAGTGGGAGCGAAAGCCGCACCTAAGCACAGCCTTTCCTACCTCCATCTTGTCTTCCCAGTGGTCAGCCCTATCCCAGGAGCCTTCCAGGACTCAGGTAAGGCTGGTAGACAGGGGAAAGCTAGGTGCTGGTAGCCTTGGTGCGGGCAGATCAAGGGGCTAAACAGTGAATTGGGGAGGCAAAAGTGGGGGAAGAGCAGGAAGATGGGGACCGGACAATGTCGGGGTTAAAGTTAAGGAGCATCTTTCTCTCTCTACCTTCTGTCTTCCAGCTGCCAGTCCTACCCAAGGAGAATTTGAAGACCTAGGTGAGAGGCTTGAGTTGCCTTGGATCTTGTTCTTTGTTGTTGTTTGGTTTGGTTTTTGAGCTAGGGTCTCTCTCTATAGCCCTGGCTGTCCTGAAACTCATCCTGTAGACCAGGCTAGCCTCGCACTCTCAGAGATCCGCCTGCCTCTGCCTTCTGAGCTGGGACTAAAGGCCACCACACCTGGCTGTCTTGAACCGTAAAGAAGTTTCAGGCTGGCTAGGTCATGAGTGAATTGAAAGTGCCCAGGCACACTCGGCCGTGCTTTGCTCTTGTTCAGAAGGACACACTGAAGGAGTAAATGGAGGTTCAGGCTTTTCCAGGATCTCTGGAGTCCGAGGAGAGGAGAGGAGGGGACCCCTAACAGGGTTTTGACCTCCAGGGGTCTCCATTCCAGACTGCGGCCGCCCTGAGCCCTCTTCCCGCATCGTGGGGGGCTCCGACGCCCATCCTGGCACTTGGCCATGGCAGGTGAGCCTGCATCACGGTGGGGGCCACATCTGCGGGGGCTCCCTCATCGCCCCTTCCTGGGTTCTCTCCGCCGCTCACTGTTTCGTGACGTGAGTACAGTCTTCGTCCGGGTTCTCTACTTCAAAGGCTAACTCCGCCCTGCAGCTCTACCTAACCCGGTCCTGTAGCTCGACCTTCCCTGCTTACCCTAGCTGCCTGGCAATGTCCCGCTGTCTAGGCTGAATACCCTGGCATAAGAATTATCACTCCAGCGTCCTCATTGACAGCACCCATTGAAAGGATGCTATTTGACCCTTTCAACCTTCACTCCCTGGGTTCCTACTGACTCTATCTACCCCTCGGCTCCGAGTCCTCAGCCCAAACATGATCTGCTGACTCCTTGCGGCCAACATAGTCCCCTTCCCTCCCTGGCACTGGAGCAGGAATGGGACCTTGGAACCCGCTGAAGAGTGGTCAGTCCTGCTGGGCGTGCACTCCCAGGACGGGCCCCTGGAAGGCGCGCACGAGCGCGCAGTGGCCGCCATCGTGATGCCGGTCAACTACAGCAGAGCGGAACTGGGCTACGATTTGGCCCTGCTGCGCCTGGACTCGCCTGCCAGGCTGGGCCCCTCGGTGCGGCCCGTCTGCCTGCCTCGCGCCTCTCACCTCTTCGCTCACGGCACCACCTGCTGGGCCACCGGCTGGGGAGACGTCCAGGAGGCTGGTAAGTGGGGCGCCCCTCCTACCCACCCACCCCGCCCCGTGTGGGTGGCCACCTTGGAAGTGAGGCCTAAAGGGAGGGACCCAGGCAGAGCTCAGGAGATTCGGTTCCGATCCACGGAAAATTCCGAACCTCCTTCTCTGTACCCTTCTCTGGCTAAAAGGTTGCCCCACTCCTGGCCACACCTTTTTCTCCCAGTTTTTGGTTTTGTTCTTTCTTTTCTTTTCTCTTCTGGATTTAGGTCAGACTTGGGTTCTGTCCCAGCTTTATTCAGACAAAGCATTCTCCCTGCACATTTCCTCCTGTGAAAGGAGGAAAACAGCTCCCGGGGGTGTTGGGAGGCTCAGAGGAGAAAATCCACGCAAAGCCTGTCATCAGTGGCTAGCACAGCCGTACTGAAGGGGTTGTGGGTATGGCTACTGCGGTAGGTGTTGAAGTATTCCTCCCTTCCATTCTATCAGTCCCTCCTCAGCCTCTTACCCACTTTTGCTTCTCCCTACTGAGAACATCATTCACTCATCCTTTTTTTTTTTTTTAAGATTTATTTATTATTTATACAACATTCTGCCTGCACACCAGATCTTACTATAGATAGTTATGAGCCACCATGTGGTTGCTGGGAATTGAACTCGGGACCTTTAGGAAGAACAGTGAGTGTTCTTAACCTCTGAGCCATCTCTCCAGCCCCATTCACTCATTCTTTTGCTGAAGATGTTTCTCTGTGCCAGGCGCTGTGATAAGCAGGCGCTGAATAGAGATACAGCAATGAACCTAAATAAGCAGAAGCCAGGCCTTCTCAGAGACTGCATCACCCTGAGTAGACAAACTGTAAAATCAGCCAGTAGGTGATTAACATATTAACTGATGCTGTGTTAGAAGGTGTCAGAAGGCAGGCGATTTTTCCATTTTCAACCACCCCTGTTACTGAGTGTTACTTTGCCATTAGTAAACACACCCATAGCTATTCCACATCGGCCTTGGTCAGACTTTGACAGGACCGGGGCCTTCGAGAGAGCTTTGTGGAGGAGATGCCACAGCTATGGCTCAAGACGGGTACCATCGGGGATCAATGGCCATGAACACCTAGGAAGTCTTTGTGGAAAGAACCTGAGCATCCTGACAATGGGCCTTCAGAGCAGGAGATTTCTGGGAAGGAGGTGGTGTGAAGGGAGGATGTGCTAAATAAAGGCCATCCTGCAGGCCCTGGAGAAAGGCTAGAATGCTAGACTGAGTAGCAGGGCAAAGCTCACAAGGATAAGAGGGCTGGATCTTTTTTTTTTTTCTTGTATTTATTTGTTTGTTTGTTTGTTTGTTTATTGGTTTTTTGAGACAGGGTTTCTCTGTGTAGCCTTAGCTGTCCTGGACTCTATTTGTAGACCAGGCTGGCCTCGAACTCACAGAGATCTACCTGCCTCTGCCTCCTGAGTGCTGGGATTACAGGCATGCACCACCACAGCTGGCTGGTTTCTTTCGGATTTTCGAGATAGGGTTTCCCTGGGTACCCTTGGCTGCCCTGGAACTCACAGAGATCCTGCCTCTCCTTCCCAAGGGCTGAGATTAAAAGCTGTGCACCACGCCATCAGCCAGCCAGAGGCTGGATCTAGAAGATCTTATAGTCAGACTGAGAGGCAGAGAAACAGAGCAACTGCCAACTCAGGGCCCCCCGCCCCCCGACCACCCTCAGACTTCCTCAGCTAGCTGAGCTCTGAGAACAGGTTCAGTCATAACCGGACCAGGATTTTGGTGAGTCTAAAAGGTCCGCTTCACCTTCCCTATATGTCTATTCATGGTTCCTGAGTCTCTTCATCCAAAGTAGCAGCTGGGCTGGTGTGGTGATGCACACCTTTAATCCCAGTACTCTAGAGGCAGAGGCAGGTGGAGATTGAGTTTTAGATAGCTATGAACCCTAGGCTCTGTGGGTTCCAAGTCAGAATGCTCTACACAGTCAGTTCCAGGACAGCCAGGGCCACAAAGTGAGACTATGTCTCAACAAAAACAAATAAACAAAAAGTAGCAGCCAGAAGTGATAGTATACAGCTGGGGTCCCAAAAGCTTAGCACTGGGCCCCACTTGAGCCTGCAGCACCCATTTACTCCTGGAAGTAGTAGGTACAGAGTGAATTAGGAAACGGACCAGTCAGGAGGCTGGGCTGATCACTCAGGCCCAAGCTTATGCTTCCTGCACTGGGACGTTACAGTGAGAATACAGAGATGTCACAAGTGACTTGGAAACTAATTGGAGAAGGTGAGTTTAAAAGGGGAGTCAGGGAGGCTGGAGAGATGGCTCCGCAGTTAAAAAAAAAAAAAAAGCAGAAAAACAATGATTGCTCTGGTAGAGAAACCAGGTTTGGTTCCCAGTACCACATGGTAGTTCACACCCAAATGTAACTCCAGATAACTCCAGTTCCAGGATATCCTGTGGCCTTCTCTGACCTTTGTGGGCACCAGACACACATGTGATATGTACACAATTAGGCGAAACACTCATATACATAAAATAGTTTTTTAAAAAGGGGACATGGATGTCACCTAGTTCTTTTTGTTATTGCTGTATTTTGTTTTTGTTTGTTTGTTTGTCTTTTGAGACAGAGTTTCTCTGTGTAGCTCTGGCTGTCCTGGACTTCACTCTGTAGGCCAGGCTGGCCTCAAACTCCGAGATCCTCCTGCCTCTGCCTCCCAAGTGCTGGGATTAAAGGCATGTGCCACCAGGCATGGCTAACACCCAGATTCTCATCCTAAGGCCCAGTTTCTGTATTTGGCAAATGCATACAAGACCTTATCTAATACACATGATAGTTTTGTGGAAAGGATGCTCTTTTTCTGAACAACTCCACACCAGCATTGAGAGCTGTGATTTTAGCTCTTACATACACACACACACATATACAGCAGTACAGTATTTTCTGGAGACCTCGCATAGTACACATCCTGTGTCATCATCTCTGGCAGCTCTCACTGGCCGCTTACAGGGGCCAAATGTAAGGAGAGGTCTTAGAGCAAAGATAAGAGCAATAGAAGATGTGATGAAAGCAGTAGGTCAAGAAGCTGGAGAGGTGGCTCAGAGGTTAAGAACACTGACTATTCTTCCATAGGTCCTGAGTTCAATTCCCAACAACCACATGCTAGCTCACAACCATCTATAGTGAGATCTGGTGCCCTTTTCTGGTGTGCAGACATACATGCAGGCAGAATGCTGTGTAAGTAAGTAAGTAAGTAAAAGTGGTAGGCCAAGATACCATTTCCCCCCCTGAGGCAGGGTCTCACATAGCCCAAGCTAGCATTGAACTTGCTGTGTAGCTAAGGATGACCTTGAGTTTCTGACTCTCCACTTCCATCTCCCAAATTCTGGGATTACAGGCATGTGCCAGCACACCTGGTTTGTTCAGTTGTGGGGACTGAACACAGGCCTTCGTGCATGTCAGCAAGCAGCCTACCAACTGAGCTGCATCTCCAGACCTACTGGGTGCATGCTGCTGGGAATATCCAGGAGGCAGCTCAAAGGGGCAAAGCTAAGCCCTGGGGAGATGAGTGTTTCATGCCTAACTCACAGTACCTGTTCTCTGGTTCTGTCCTCAGACCCTCTGCCTCTCCCCTGGGTGCTACAGGAAGTGGAGCTAAAGTTGCTGGGAGAGGCTGCCTGTCAGTGTCTCTACAGCCGGCCTGGCCCTTTCAACCTAACTTTCCAGCTGTTGCCAGGGATGCTGTGCGCTGGCTATCCAGAGGGACGAAGGGATACCTGCCAGGTGAGGAGAGGTCTCTTAACCCATAGGAAGCAGCTAAGGAGTGGATGAATATTTGAGCCTCATCTTCAGTGGAATCTGGTCTGGGGAGTATGGCTCTCATACGTACAGTATGTGCCTAGCACCTGGGAGGCTCTGGGCTCAGTCTCTGGCAACAAAACAAACAAAATGTCAAAGACCGTCAACAGAGCCTAGCAGAGCATGGCACGCTTGTAATCTCAGCAGTTGGGAAGCAGAGGCTAGGAGAATCAACTCAAGGCCTGTCTGAGCTACATAGTGGTCAGCCTAGGCTACATGAGACCCTATCTCAAAACAAAACAAAAAGACTATCAATGACTGACCGAAAGACTACGGAGGAATGAAAGCTAGGACTCCTGTAGGTACCTGCTCCCCAAAGGAGCACGATGCGGTAAAGCATGGGACTCTGGAGTGTTCGTTACGGCCATGTCTACCCCTGCGTCCCATGAGGCGGAGGTTGTGGAACCCTGATCAGTGATGACAAGACTAAAGAAAGGACAGACACACATGCTGCAGAGCTGGGGTAAGGCTCCCACCGTAGCTGGGAGCCTTGGAGTGTCTGTTAGGCACAGCACAGTGGCAAAGGTTAGCTGGTCTCAGGAGGAGGTCTCCGTAGACCAGGAGCCTCAGGCTGTAAACATCCCAGAGGAAGCTGCAGGTACTAGTCTTTGCACACACTGATGGATTGTCTTGGACTTTTGGAGTTGAGCATTGCCACCCATCTTGAGGATGGCCCATATGCGGACACAACCTTGCCAATCTCTCATGGGTCCAAGGCCTTGCGGTCCTCGATGTGGCCTTGACCGTGTCAACAGAGCACATTCACTCAGGACCTCATTCACTCAGGGTGATGTCCTGTACCCGCTGCCTCCATTCTCTTTACAAGCCCAGCACCGCCAACTCCTAGACATTCAGCTTTGCCAGATGTTGACACTTCACATCTGGAAGGTGACAATAATGGAGTTACCTATGTCAACATGCTGTTACATGATGAATGCCCTCACCAAGATCTAATAAAGTATTAGCTATTATTTTTCTTGGCCCAAAGTCCAGCCTACAGCACAGCACTTCTTGCTTAGTAGGTACCTAACAAATAGTTATTGGAGGAAGTGAATTAATTATTCACAGAAGGGAATTTTCCAGATAATTGGATGATGGCCAAAACAGTGTATTTGAAACACCTTTTTTTTTTTTTTTTTTTTTAAAGAAACCAAACCCTCCATTCGTGGTAGTGGTGTGGTATGGATACAAGGTTCTGAGGTTTCAGGACCCACAGTCTCTTTTTAAAAAATTAGATCTACTTATTTTGAGTTTTTTGCCTGATGTAGGCAGGTGTACCTCTTGTGTGCAGGGCCTACAGAGGCCAGGAGAGAGCACCAGATCTCTTAGAACTGGAGTTTCAGATGCGCCAAACCATGGTCTGAAAATCAAACCTGAGTTCTCCCAGAGAGCAACGCGGGCTCTTGTGATCACTGAGCCATCTCTCCAGCTTCAATCATTTGATTCCCCTGCCCTGAATACCTTTTACTCACTTTTGGACAATTTCATACATATATAAATTGTACGTTGATCACAGCCACCCTGAGCCCCCCTTCTTCTCCTAGCAGGAACCCCCAGCACCCCTCCCACCCCCAACCTCCATATCATCTTTCCTTTTATTTTTTTTAAGATTTATTTATCATGTATACAATGTTGTCTGCATGTTCACCTGCACGCCAGAAGAGGGCACCAGATCTCACTATAGATGGTTGTGAGCCACCATGTGGTTGCTGGAAATTGAACTCAGGACCTCTGGAAGAGCAGCCAGTGCTCTTAACCTCTGAGCCATCTCTTCAGCTCTTTCCCTTTTATTTTTGCAACTCACTTGAGTCCAGTTAGTGCTGCCTATTGGACTGTCGGCTGATTTCATTCATTCGCTCATATGCAGGCGAGCATATGATCAACTGTGGTGAGTTCATGGATGCAATGGCCATCCCATCCATGACTAGAAGGCAGCATTTCACAGCACGCCTCTCCATCTTCCACTCTTAGGTTCTGTCCACCTCCTCTTCTGCCCTGTTCCCTGGGGGACAGTCGGGTGGTTTTGTGGTTTCGATACAAGTGTTCTACCTAGCGGTAAGCTCTCCATTTAGCCAAAGAACAGTAGTAGCATAGATTACCCACAGGGGGCCCATGTCTGTGTGGTCTATATTACCAGGGATAGACTCCTTCCTGTGGAGCAGGCCCCATACCCAAGCAGAAAGCAGGTGGATACCTACATGACCTTCATACCACTATTTTGTCAATGGGCATATCTTGCTGGCCAGGTTGCTCTTGTAGCATTCAGGGTTCACTGCTGGGTATTGATGACTGCTGATGACTTGAACTCCCCACCAGCTTCCATAGCACGTCCCAGCACTATGAAGGCTAGCCAGCAGAGAAGTTTTCTGGTCAGTTCCAGGTCGGTTTCTCTGTGTATTGCCACCAAAGTGTGTTGCATCTTCTGCGACAGAGTCTTACCATCTATGTGGGCAATCAAGAGCAAAGGCAATAGTCTGTGCTGTTTTGGGAGCCTCTGGGACTTCTCTGATGAACAGCTCATACATAGAGAGACATCCCACACCTGACACATGAGATTTCATTTAATATCCTGTAGCTTCTTGGGGAAGCACTGTCCACAAATGCAGGGGACCTGTGTTCAAACCCCTTTTCAAATTACATATGTATTGCTGGGTGGTAGTGTCGCTTGCTTTTAATTCCAGCACTCGGGAGGCAGAGGCAAGTAGATCTCTGTGAGTTTGAGGCCAGCTTGGTCTACAAAGAGAGTTCTAGGACAGCCAGGGCCAACACACACACACACACTCTGACACAAGAAAGAAGTTGAGAGAGGGAGAAACACTGGGGGCATAATTCAGTGGCTAGAGTACCTGGCTAGTGCTGAATTTGATCTCCAGCACGACGCAAGCTAAGAGTACACGCCTGCAATCCCAGAACTCATGAGGCAGAAGTGGAAGGATCAGAAGTCAAGGCCAACTTCAGCTGCACAGTGAGTCTGAAACCACCAGGGCTTCAGGAGACCTTATCTCAAAACACCCTATAGGGGAGCTAGTGGGCCTGAAAAACTAAAACTGAGTTAAATTTAAGTAACTAGATTTGAAGAGTTGACTCTAAGGTTAAGAGCTCTTGCAGACGAACAGGGTTCAATTCCTAGCACCTTTCTAACCTCTGTAACTCCATTTCCAGGGGACCCAACACCCTCTTCTGACCTCTACCGGGAACAGACACACATGTGGCATTCAAACATATATGTATACACTCATACATAAAACACTAAAGTCAATCTTTAAAAATATAGTTACTTTGGTCTGTTATCTACAAAATGGTAAGTCTCCTTTTTTTAACTACTTGTATATTTATTTATTTAATATGCATTGGTGTTTTGCCTTCATGTATGTCTGTGTGAGGGTGTCAGATCCTGTGAAACTGGAGTTATAGACAGTTGTGAGTCAGAAGATGGGTGCTGGGACTTGAACTTGGGCCCTCTGAAAGAGTAGACAGTGAGTGCTCTTAACCATGGAGCCATCTCTCTAGCCCCTTTAAACATTTTTAAAAATGTATTTCATGTGTGTCAGTATTTTTCCTGTGTGTATATTCGTACACCATGTGCATGGCTGGTACCTGAAGAAGTCAGAAGAAAGGCATCAGGGCCCCTAAAACTGTGATGACAGATGGTTGTGAGCCACCGTGTGTGTGTGGGGGGGACTTGAACCTGGGTCTTCTGGGAAGAGTAGCCAGTGCTCCTAACCATCTCTCCAGATCCCAGACTTCTTGGTGATACTCCTCAGATTGCCGAGATTCCTGAGCTGAACTACAGAGAGACTGTAAGAAGAATGATTTTAGGTCTTCCTCATTTGATTTCACAGCCACACACACACACACACACACACACACACACACACACACACACTTTTTTTCCTACTCTTTTTGAGACAAGGTTTTTCTGTATAGTCTTGGCTGTCTTGGACTCACTTTGTAGACCAGGCTTGCCTCAAACTCACAGAGATCTACCTGCTTCTGCCTCCTAAGTGCTGAGATTATTAAAAAGCATGTGCCACACCACCCGCCCACACTGCCCCTTCTTAATGCATTTATTTGTTCATTCATTCATTCATTCAGAGACAGGATCTTTCTGTATTGCCCAAGGTGGTCTTCAACTCCTGGATTTAAGCGATCCTCCAGCCTCAGCCTTTGGAATAGCAGGGACTACAAATATAGGGACATAAATGATTTTTTTATTTTTTGAGACAGTGTTTCTCTGTGTAGCCTTGGCTGGCCTTGAACTCACAGAGATCCACCTGCCTCTGCCTCTCTGGGTGCTCATACATGCTCTTGTTGCTACTGTATCTGCCTAGTTCTAGCAGCGCCTTCCTCAGCTAGTGTCTTTAATTTATTTTTACATTTATTTATTGTGTGTGTGTGTGTGTGTGTGTGTGTGTGTGTGTGTGTGTGTGTTACGCTCAGTATGTCAAAGCACATGTGTAGACAGCAAATGACAGCGTGAGGGAATTAGTTCTCACCTTCCGTAATGTGAACTGGAAATTGAACTCAGATGATCAGGTTGGCAACAAGTGCCTATAACCACCGAGCCACCTCACTGGCCCACTTTTTCTTTGTTTGGAGACAGTCTCATGTAGCTCAGGCTAGCCAAAAATTAACTATGTCGCTGAGTCCTGATCCTTTCCCCTCCCAAGTGTTGGGACTACGGGTATGTACCAAAACAACAAAGGACAGGGTCTCTTATTGACCTTGAGCTCACCAATGAGGCTAGATCGGCTGACCAGCGAGTGTGGATGACTCTGCTGTTCCTGTCTCCCTTCCCACGGGTTTGCAAGCTCAGGTCACCGCATTTTCACATCCGTTAAATAGGGTCCATAAGCTCGCAAGGCAAGCATTTTCCCAGCTGGGCAACCCCCTCGGCCCTTGATTTACTTTTAAATTTTATTTATTTATTTATTTATTTATCTATCTATCTATTTATTTATTTATTTATTTTTTCTTCAAGACAGGGTTTCTCTATGTAGCTTTGGCTGTACTTGAACTCTCTCAGTAGGGCAATCTGGCCTTGAGCTCAAAGATCAGTCTGCCTCTTCCTCCCCCTTGCTGGGATTAAAGGCATGCTCCACCACCACCATCACAGGGTTTCCTTGATTTGCTTTTCGAAGGGGGTGGAGCTCAGCATTCGTGAGACCCTAGGTTCAAGCCCAGGCCTAAACAAAGGAAGGTTCCTAGTAGGTGGCCATATGTTAGGCCAAACCCGCGTGTGGATTCGTGAACTAATGTCTAACTGGAGTCATCTACCGTTAGGGTGACTCTGGGGGACCGCTGGTCTGTGAGGATGGCGGCCGCTGGTTCCAGGCGGGAATCACCAGCTTTGGCATTGGCTGTGGACGCAGGAACCGCCCTGGGGTCTTCACTGCAGTGGCTCCCTACGAGTCATGGATACGGGAACACGTGAAGGGCTCAGAGCCTGGGCCTGCCTTTCCCAGCCAGCTCCAGAAGCCCCAGTCAGGACCCTGGGAGCCGGGAGAAGAAAACTGCAGCTTTGCCCAACCAGGTGAATGGCAGATGCACTGAACCTGACTGAGCTGGGCAGGGCAGATTCGAACCGGGGTGGAGGCTGCAGGGTGAAGGATTTCTGCAGACCTCCCTGACCCAGGCTTCTCATCTTTCAGAGTGCGGGAAGGCTCCGCGGCCGGGAACGTGGCCCTGGGAGGCTCAGGTGATGGTGCCAGGCTCCAGACCCTGCTATGGAGCTCTGGTGTCTGACAGCTGGGTCTTGGCACCCGCCAGCTGCTTTCTGGAGTGAGTGAGAATGCATCTATCAGTCGCTCTTGCCCCTTCCCGCATTATCAGCCTGAGGGGAACAGCTCAGCCCTTCCCCTGGTGTGGGAGTTGTAACTCAGCCTGCGGTGCCTGGACCTGGGAAGTACAGAACCCAGCACAAAGCGGGGGAGTCTGGCGAGGGCGGGTAGGAGGGTCGGTCCGGAACGGGAGAACCGGATTAACAGGGTAGAAGGCGGGGTTCCAGCGTTGGACGAAGGGTCCCAGCCGTGGGAAGCTAGGTTCGCAGCGTGTGTGCGGAATGCAGGCGCGTCCTCTGCACCCCCAGCCAGCAGCCCCGCATCTCTGACAGCTCATCCGTGGCTCTCGAGACGTGGCGGGTGCTGCTGCCCTCGCGGCGGGAGGAAGAGCGGGTGGCGCGCCTCGTGCCGCACGCGAACGCTTCCAGGGACTCCGCCTCGGACCTGGCGCTGCTGCAGCTGAGGACGCGCGTGAACCTGACCGCGGCCCCGAGTGCCGTGTGCCTGCCCCACCGCGAGCACTATTTCCTGCCCGGGAGCCGCTGCCGCCTGGCTCGCTGGGGACGCGGGGGTGCGCGGAGCCGCGCGGGGCCTCGGATCGGGGGCGGTGGGCGGGGCGGGAACCGCGCGGCCGAGGCGACCCGCTCGCCGTTGTCTTCCCTCAGAGTCCGCACCAGCTAGCGCACAGCTGGAGGCGCAGCTGCTCAACAGCTGGTGGTGTCACTGCCTCTACGGCCGCCAGGGGGAGTCAGTGCCGCCGCCGGGACACCCGCCGCACTGGCTTTGCCCCGCCTACCAGGAGGAGGAAGAGGCGGGCCTATGCTGGGTGAGCGACCGGAACTCGCTGCGGAAATCCGGTCCTTACCAGGACGCCGCTGGAGGAGGGAGGAGCTAGGGGCGGGGCGGGGCTTCCCGGGCTTCTTCCCTGGGGTACAAAAGCTCGTGTATTCATTTATGTTTTTCCTTTTTTCGTCTTCTCTCTCTCTTTTTTTTTTTTTTTTTTTTTTTTTATGGAAGAGTTTCTCTGTGTAGCCCTGGCTAACTTAGAACTTACTCTGTAGACCGGGCTGGCCTCGAACTCAGAGATCCGCCTGGCTTATTCATTCTTTTAAAGAACGTGACTGTTGGGATCCAAAGCCGAGATCCTCGTGAAGCGAGTGCTTTACCGACTGAAGCCATCGCCTCAACCCGATCTTGGCAAATTTTAAGAGAGGGCAGAAAGAGGGCGACAGGTGTTGTACACCTGTGATCGATCCCAGCGCTCGGGAGGCAGAAGTAGGCGGATCACCGAGTTCGAGGCCAGCCTCGTCTACAGAGAGCGTTCCAGGACAGCCATGGCTACACAGAGAACCCCTGTTTGGAAACAAACAAAAACAAAAGAAAGCCGAGAAGGTGTTGGGGTTTGTCAAGTGAGGGCTGGATTTTTACACAAATTAGTGTTGGCACTCGGCTAGAAAGATGTTGGATTTATCCACGAAAGAAGTATCAAGATCCCAGAAAGAGCTGAGGATCTGGACACCTGCAGGCTGCACTCACGCTAGTAATAATACTATTTTGCTGCAGAAAGATTCCGGTTGGAGCCTTCTGTGTCGTGAGGAGGGGACGTGGTTCCTGGCTGGATACAGAACCCTCTCAAATGCTTGTCTCCCTCCCCGAGCCTTTTACCCACTGCAGACTCATGGGCTATGGATCAGTCATGTGACTCAGGGAGCTTACCTGGAGGACCAGCTAACCTGGGACTGGGGCCCTGAGGGGGAGGAGACCGAGAAACAGACCTGTCCCCCACGCACTGAGCATGGTGGTGAGCAGGGTCTGTGAGGCCCAAGGAATTTCTGGGAGTTCGTAGATCATGGCAAGGCCTTCAGGGGGCCAGCTTTGGGACTCCCTCTGAAATGGCCACCTCCTCTCTCTAGCCTGTGGCCTAAAGCCAAAAGCCACTGCAGCTGGTGTGTTGTGGCCCTGGCTGACAGAGGTGCATGTGACTGGTGATCGAGTCTGCACCGGGATTCTGGTGGCCCCAGGCTGGGTCCTAGCAGCCACTCACTGTGTTCTCAGGTGGGTCACTTCTAGCCAAAAAGGCAAGATGAGAAAAAATTGGGTTAATTGGTCAAGGACTCTTTCAGGAGTAGGACATTGGGGCTTGTATAGCACAAGGAAAGTGCTGTGGGGTGTTTTTGTTGGGATGTTTGGCTGTGGGGTGGGGGTGAGATCTTCGGAGACAGAAGAGAGAGGAATCAATCACCAAGCAGTTGGATGTTCCTAGAGACCTGCCCTGTGCTTCTGGGAAGGACTTCACCAGTTATGGAAGAGATAGGGCAGGATCTGGTTCTGAAGCTGATTCCTGTCCCCACAGGCTGGGCTCCACAATAGTGCCTCACATTGAAGTATATCTGGGCCGGGCAGGGGTCAGCACCCTCCCACAGGGCCACCAGGTATCTCGATCCGTCGTCAGCATCCGACTGCCCCGCCACTTAGGACTTAGACCCCCCCTGGCCCTCCTGGAGCTGGACTCTCGGGTGGAGCCGTCCCCATCAGCTCTTCCCATCTGCCTACACCCAGGGGCTATTCCCCCAGGGGCCAGCTGCTGGGTGCTGGGCTGGAAGGACCCCCAGGACCGAGGTGAGAGCCCTTGGGTCATGGGAATGAGGAGTGACCTCAGGCCAGACTCATTACAGCTCTCTCTCTTCTCCCTAGTTCCTGTAGCTGCTGCTGTCTCCATCTTGACACCACGACTCTGTCACTGCCTCTACCAGGGCATTCTGACTCCCGAAACATTTTGTGTCCTCTACACAGAGGGGCAGGAGGATAGATGTGAGGTACAGGGCCTAGGCATCTTGGGCCAGGGAGGGGAAAGGTGATTATGGGCAGCTGGATCCTATTCATATTGGAATTGGAATTTTTGGTATTGGGTTCCAGATACAAACAAGTAGTATTTTTCAGCTAGACCTTAGAGAAACCAGGAACCAGGATACCTAAGGGTGAGATATGCAGAGCCTTGTGACTGGACCTTAGGGAAGTCAGGAGAACCAGACGGAAGGGTAACAGACCCTTTTGGCCTTGGCTCCAACTCTGCAGGTGACCTCAGCACCTCCCCTCCTGTGCCAGACTGAGGGAGGCCCCTGGGTTCTCATGGGCATGGCTGTTCGAGGGAGCAGGGAGCTGTTCGCAGCCGTGGACCCTGAAGCAACCTGGATATCGCAAACAGTGGGAGAAGCCCATTTTCTTCATCTCAGTGGCTCCCCCTACTGGCATCCTGAAGGCAGTGACCACTGCCCCCAAAACTTGGCAGGAGCTGCAAGCTCCCCTAAGGTTGCTGCTCTGCTCCTGCTCCTATCGGTTCCACTGATCCGGGGCTGAGCGCATGGCTCCTCTTCACGACACCCATTGGGGCCGGAATGTGGCCCAACCGGCCGGCTCCAGGCCTCTTCCACCTATACTGCTTCAGCTTTCAGATAATTGGACCTCAGTGCCGGCTACGTTGAACCTAAGAATCCTTGGGGGTGGGGGAGGGACAGACAATAAAGATGTAAATACAGACACGTGGCTTTGTGGCATCTCTTAGGCTGCTGAGGGACTGAACAGCTCAGAGGTGAGGGGAAAGCCCCAAGGATAGGGCTCTTCCCTCTTGGTGAGTCAGGCCTTGGGATCCCAGGAAATGTGTCCCCTATAACGTGGCAGCTGTTCCCTCATTCCTGCCTCTGGGCGGGGGAGGTTAGGTGGACAGCTGGTTGTGTGTCACCTCTCCACTGGAATTAGTGTCCCCAGCACCTGCAGCCTTACCTGAGCCATGTCTCTGTACCTACTAGACTAGGAAGCTTTGGGATGTGAAAGCCAGCCCCAAACATACACCGTGATGTTAAACGTACATTCCCAGGACCTGGGCCACTTGCAGGCCCATCCCACCTCTGCCCACCCCACTCACCTGTTCAGTTCAATCCATAGCACCTGAAAACTGCCAAAGCACAACAACCGGAGCCTGAAAAAGTAAGTTCACCAAATACATCTAAACACTCCTTTACTAAGGGATCAAGAAATGGTTAGAGGAGAAATGAGATTTGAGCACATAAGCAAACGGCAAATGTGGACCTGGGGAAAGGGTGGAAGTCTGGGTTTTTTGTTTGTTTGTTTGTTTGTTTGTTTGAGACAGGGTTTCTCTGTGTAATAGCCCTGGCTGTCCTGGAGTCGCTTTGTAGCCCAGGCTGGCCTTGAAAGTGCATGCATACACCCGCCTGCCCTCTATACCAAGCCAGCTGCCCACCCCACCCCCTACACTGAGCCTGCCTCATCCTTTCCCTAAACACACCACGACTCCCAAAGTCTTGCCCCTCCCTCTAAAGTCAACATCTATTCAAAGTCCTCCAGGCATTCTCTGATAAGATCCTGGGCTGAAGTCCAGATGCCCAGGCTTCTGGAAGAAAGTAGAAGCAAGAATCTGCTTCTCAAGCCGAAGCCTGAGCCATCCTCCAAGTGCCACAGTGATAGCAGTCACACAAGCCGCCGTTTCCCGAACTCTTTCTGTGCTGTGTGTACACACACATACACTTGTCCATATAAGCAAGTTCTGAGGCTACTGCTCCCGCCTTGTCTTTGAGACCGGGTTTCACTGAACCCTGACCTTGGCTGGCTGGCCAGCCAAGCCCCAGGATCTGCAGTCTCCCGCACAGGACTGTACCAGGGTTACAAACATGGACCACTACACCCAGCTTTACATAGGCACTGGGGATCTGCACCGGGTTTTCACGCTTGCACAGGAAGTGCCTTACCCGCTGAGCCATCTCCCCAGCCCCTCCCCCTGAGCTTCTACCCTGGCACCCTAAACTATAGATCTTCTCCCAGTTTACCACAACCAGTTTTGTTTTTTTTTTTTTAAGATTTATGAGCCAGGCTCAGTGGTACATGCTTGTAATCCCAGCATTCGGGAGGCAGAGGCAGTCGGATCCTTGTGAATTCTAGGCCAGTCCTGTCTACAAAGCGAGTCCAGAACAGCCAAGGTTACACAGAGAAACTCTGCTTCGAATAAGCTCCTAAAAGAAAAGAAAAAAAGAAAAAGGTTTATGTAGCCCTGGATGTCCTGGAACAGACTGGCCTCAGACTAACAAGAGAGCCATCTGCCTCCGCCTTGGCAGCAGGAAGGAGGACGGCATTTATAGGCCTGTACCACCACACCTGGCCCAGCTTTGTCATGTTAGCATCTTTCCACGTCCTCGTGGGGTTTGGTTCTCAGCATTCTTCCTCCGGGACCTCTCAGCTCCTGTGCAATTAACAGAGCCCGCGCTCCTTTTGTCCATCACAGCTCCCAGTTTGAAATTATTCAATAATTGACTCTTATTATTTGATTGAAGCCTGACATCCATACTCCATAATAACGTTGAGGAGGTCACAGATGGTACAGTTTGCCACTTGTGCCTGGGGGCATGGTAGGTACTTAGGATTGTCAACAGCCAGACACTCTCAACACCTGCAGGAAGGCTTTATGGAGGGGTTTTGCCAGGAATGGCCTTGGCCTGGGGCATCCCCCATGTCCTAGTCTTAGATACCTGGCCTGAGGAAGGAGGAAAAGAATGAGCAGGGGCTGTGGTTCTGTGGTAATAAAGTCTGGGCCAGGCTGAGTAGTGGAGGTGGGGGTAATGGAGGTGGGGAGGGGACCAGGAAGAAGAGGACGGTTGGCTGGCCCTCAGGGTTTCAAGTCCTGCTAGGACTGCTCTTTGGCCAGGATCAGTTTTCCTCTACCGAAACCACTCCCACTGCCTAAGGAGTCTGAAAGGGCTACAGAGGTCAGAAGCAAGGGAGGGGAAAAAAAAAAAAAAAAAAGCCCACTGCATTCAGCCAAGAAGGCGTGGCTGAGGGAGGAGCCCACAGGTAGTTGGTTCCCCGATGAGGTGTCTGGAGAGGACTCTGTGATGATGACCAGATTGTAGGGCAGAACAGGTCCACAGTGGAGAGACTAAAGGCGTGTCCCGTCTTCCATCCCCCGTGGTCATTTCCTGCTGGGAAGTCCGAGTTCATACCTGCTTCACCTTCACAGCCTAGGTCCTGGGATTCCTCACTTCGGAGCCCACAAAACCAGCCCTCCATTCTTCCCTTTCTACCTAGAGTCTCCCCCAGGGGGCCCTCGTCCTGGGCCATGGCCCTAATGGTGGGCCTGGGACCTGGGCAGCTGGAGGCTGTGGCCATTCTTCTCCTGATCGGATTGCTCCAGCCAAGAATGGGTGAGTCTGGCTCAGCGCCGGGAGGAAGGGCTGGAGAGGGCACCGGTGAAGGCAGGCAGAATCTGTGTAGAGCACAGCCCTAAACTGAACATCTCTGTGTTCCTGCCGTTCAGCCACCTTCTAGCTCCTTAAACAAGGAGTCCCGCTCTGGGAAAGCGGTTGGTGTTAAGGCATCTGGGGACTCAGGCCTCCCTGCTTACTCCCCCCTTTCTTTCCTTCCAGGAGCTGACGGAGATGAAGGTGAGGCTTCCAGGGGAACTGGGAATTGGGGAAGCGAGGGCACGGCAGTTTGGAGTCCCCCAGTGGTGGGGTTTTAGGAGCACTTGTCACTTGGCTGGGCTTGCTCAGCTAGCCACACTATTTCCCAACAGTTCTGTGAGTATGGAACCAAGGCTCTTGCTTTATGAGGAAACTGAGGTAAAGGGAAGCAGTGAGTTGTCCAAAGCCTGACTCTTAGTGTGGGTCTGTGAGGTGGTTCTGAGGGAAACTATACAGATCAGCTCCCAGGCAGACTGGTTTCAGTCTGAGCTTAACTATTTAGTGACCTTGTCCCCTTATCTTTCTAAGCTCCATTTTCTTTGCCTAGAAAGGCTGTCGGTTCTGTTCTTCTAGGGCTGTAGATTGGGAAGTGAAAGCCCCTTGGCGCCCAGACTTGTTGCAGCAGCACTCTAAGCAGTAGCCATTGTCATGATTCTGAGGGAACAGGGGAAGAGTCTGGTGGCCTGTTTTCTCTGCCAAATGCTAGCTTGGAGGGAGCAGGTCCACAGCCCAAAGAATCCAATTCTGTTTCAGTGTTCAACCTCATCCATAGCTCTGTGTGCCCAGCGAATGCGTGGATGGGGTGGAAAGAGGGGCGTCCTTAGGCAGCGCACAGACTGGTGCAGTTGGAACAGTCATAGGCGTGAGAACAGTTGTCAGCCTGGACAGTGCCTGTGGACTGAGGGCCCTGGAAACTGAGAGAACACCTGTGACTCAGCCAGCTAGCTCAGAACAGACTGTGCGCTTTGGATGGCTCTTCAGCCTAGCAGAGAAGGGTGGGAAAGGCATCCAGAGGAGAATGAGTGGTATTAGCCAAGGTCCAGGGGTGAACAGTGTGTGGCCCAATGTATGTGACAGGAAGTGTCCAGCTCCACAGTCAGGATAGTGCCATGCACATCTGGAATCTCTTTTTTGTAATTCTAAAAATTGGGTATTCTGCCTCTATGAATGTCTGTGTATCACATGAGTGCCTGGTGCCTTTGGAAGACAGAAGGTGGTATCAGATGCGTTGGAAATAGAATCAAGGACAGTTGTGAGCTGCCATGGTGGTGCTAGGAACCAAACCCAGGCCTCTGCAAGAGCACCAAGTGCTCTTAACTGCTGGATCCATCTCTCAGCCTCTGAGAGGTATTTTACGGTCAGTCTGGAGCCACCACGGAAGAGCTCAGCAAGACTGTGATTTGGCCAGAGTTGTGGTTTATGAAAACATTCAAATTTGTAAGAGGTAGACTGGATAGAAAGCAAGAAGGCTTAAGAGGAAAGGGCTGCCATGACACTTGACTGGGACAGCACTGGGCAAGTGAGCTCACAGCTGCTGAGCCATGGGGTAGGTAGGGAAGGTAGCTCAGGGTGAAAGCACTTCCCAGGCTCTCGATATGTCAGGGTGGAAGGGCTAAGGACGGCTGTGGGGCCGCAGAAGGGCCTGACCTCCCCTACCTCCCCTTCCTCCCTGGACAGCCCCCTGTGGTGTAGTCATCCAGCCGCGTATCGCAGGCGGTGGCAGTGCCAGGCCGGGTCAGTGGCCCTGGCAGGTCAGCATCACCTTCGATGGCGTTCATGTGTGCGGTGGGTCTCTCGTGTCGAACCAATGGGTGGTGTCAGCTGCTCACTGCTTCCCAAGGTACCAACTCAATGGAGGGGCAGGGAGGGGAGGTCAAAAGTGGGCTGGAAACAGGGTTTGGGAGGTGGAGACAGGGTCAGAAGTTCAGGGTCATCCATAGCTACTACATAGTAAATTCAAGGTCAGCTTGGGATATACCAGACTGTGTCTCAAAAGAAAGAAAGAACTACAGAAAGAAACAAGTGTGCCATGGGTCAGTCCAGTTCCTGGGGCACTAGTTCCTGCTGTGTGCTCAAGAGTATCAGTGTTCCTAGGCCACACATAGTAGTCATGTTTTTAACCCCAGCATTCAAGGTGCAGAAGCCTTAGTGCAAGGCCAGCTGACTGTAGACAGTTCCAGGCCAGATTCATAGTGAGATCCAGCACTTGGGGAGGCAGAGGCTGGCGGATCTCTGTGAGTTTGAGGCCAGCCTGGTCTTCAAAGCAAGTCCAGGACAGCCAAGGCTACACAGAGAAACACTGTCTTGAGGGGTGGGGTGGGGAAGGAACCGGTCAGAGGTAAAAGTGAGGGGTTTGGGTCACGGCGTAAAACTAGGACACTAGGCCATAAAATGCTATTTGGGATCAGAATCTGAGCCAGGACAACATAAAAAACAGGGGTGAGGGAACAGAAGAGGTTCCTTAGGTCCTACTCTTTGCCTCTCTGCCTGCAGAGAACACAGCAAAGAACTTTATGAGGTAAAGCTGGGGGCCCACCAGCTAGACTCCTACAACAGTGACACTGTGGTCTGCAAGGTGGCTCAGGTCATCTCCCACTCAAGCTACCGTGAAGAGGGCTCCCAGGGGGACATTGCCCTCATCCGCCTCAGCAACCCTGTTAACTTCACCCGCTACATCAAACCCATCTGCCTCCCTGCAGCCAACGCCTCCTTTCCCAATGGCCTCCACTGTACTGTCACAGGATGGGGTCATGTGGCTCCTTCAGGTGAGGTTGGGCATAGGGGCCCAAAGTCAGTAAAGGGAGGATGGATGGTGGAGGGTGGGGCCCTGAGCAAGTGTGTGTCGTTCCCACAGTGAGCCTCCAGACACCCAGGCCTCTGCAGCAGCTTGAGGTCCCGCTCATCAGCCGGGAGACCTGCAGCTGCCTGTACAACATCAATGCTGTGCCTGAGGAGCCCCACACGATCCAGCAGGACATGCTGTGTGCTGGCTATGTGAAGGGAGGCAAGGACGCTTGCCAGGTAAGAGAAGACAGGTGTGTCCTGAGAGGTGGAGGGCTGGGTGAAGCTGCATGGATGACCGCTGGCCAGAGGCCTGTCCTGACGGAGCTCTTTTCTTCCTTAGGGTGACTCTGGAGGGCCACTCTCTTGTCCCGTGGAGGGGCTGTGGTATCTGGCAGGCATTGTGAGCTGGGGTGATGCCTGTGGCGCCCCTAACAGGCCTGGAGTATACACTCTGACTTCTACATATGCTTCCTGGATCCACCACAATGTGGCAGAACTCCAGCCTCGGGTAGTTCCCCAAACTCAGGAGTCCCAACCCGACGGTCACCTCTGCAACCATCATCCTGTCTTCAACTCAGCCCCAGCCCAAGGATCGTTAAGCCCTACACTTTTCCTGCCACTGGGCCTGACCCTGGGTCTCTTCTGCCTTTGGCTTGAACATTAAGCTACTTAACCCTCAAAGCTGACCTGCGTCCAGGACCAACAGCATCCCCAAGGACATGTGCCTGTCCAGGAGGGCACCAACTTGATCTTTGAGCCCATTCTTCTGAGTTTGCTCTTTGGGATTATAATCTACAGCCAAGAAGTTCACAGCTTGTGGAGTGGGACAGAAATTCTAGCCACCTTTCTGTTATCTACAGCTTACTGGTTAGGCTCCTATGGAGCTCCCATAAGCCTCAGCTAGGGAAACAAGCCCTGACCTCAACCTGTACCCAGCACAAAGGACACCTGCCTAGCTGACTGCTGCAGCAGGCTGGCTTCAGGGCCCTACCCACCTGCCTGATGAGCCCATCACCTGTCCTCTTCCTGCCTCCTGGGCTTTGCCTGTCTTGCGCTAGGAAAAACCTCAGCCTTACTCCACTGGCTGCCAAGCTGACTGCCAAGTTGAGCTGACTCCTGGACTCCGGAGGACTGAGCCCCCACCGGAGCTGGCTGGGGCTTGGATCAGGGTGAGGGGTAACAAGGAGTAAATGTTTTTTAACACAACTGGCTGTATGTAAGATGAAATGAAGAACATAACCCTTTGGCATCTCCTTCGCACCTCCAAAATTCAGCACACCAGCAGAATTTACTTTATTAATAAATGACATAAAACAGGTCTGTACATATATTTACAGGTCAGAGGCCAGGAACACAGTCCAAAGCAGGGCACCAGCCACTCACTTCTTGGAAAGCTTGACTTGTTTGTGCTTGGGAGGCGCCCACTTGAGGCAGACAGAGTCCACTGTGGGAGGAAAGGGGCATGAGAGCCACGCAGGGTCCCTGGGTCGAGTGTGCCTGCACCTGGCAGCCCTGTCTGGGCACAGGCCAGGTTTCACCTCAGAGTGAGAACAAAAGGGCAGCCTCAGTCCTGAGGAGGGGGAGGGAATCCCAGGAATGAGTAACCTGCCCTAGGCTGCAGACCTAGAACCTGGTCCAACCGGTTTGGGATCTTATAACAGCCAAAAAAAAAAAAAAAAGAGAGAGAGAGAGAGAGAGAGGCGCCTTGGCTCTTATCCCACCCTACCGAAACACACATGCTTCTGGGTGCACACACACGCATATATACACACACACAATGCACATAGCAGTAACACACCTGTGATGGGTGGTTTCTTATACTGGGCACTTTTGAGGTGTTCCTCTACCAGCTTAGGCGTGACACAGATCACATGCTGGCCCTTCCAGTACTTGACCATGTTGAGGGACTGCAGGGTGCTGATGATGTCATTCTGGGTGATGCTGGTCATCTGGCTGTAGAGAAGGAGTAGAGCACAGGGAGACAGCAACAGGAGTAAGAGGCAAGATCCATGACCAACCTTAGGAGAGCTCACTCCTATAGCGTCCCAAGATGATCCTCCACAGGGTCCTTAATGGAACAGTGTATCCTGGACCAGGATGGACACCAAGGCTCTTACCTAAGATCTTTGATAGACAATGTACCCCGGAAGTCTCGCAAGATCTCCAGCAAGACCCAAGACCAGTAGCTTCTGTAGCTGAGTTTGCCCAGGTCACTCAGTGGCTTCTCTGGGGAGCCTACAGTACTCTCAAGCTTGGAGAGCTCATAACCTGGCAATGACAGAAGGCGAATCGTAAGGAGCCAGCCTCTCCCCGCCCCCACCTCAGCATTCCCAACTGCAGCAGCTACTCACTGAAGGCAATGAGAAACTTCCCATAGCCACGCCTCTGATACGGGGGCAGCGTCAGGATGCAGGCCACATTGTTTCCATCTGGGGATTCCTTCTCCTGGGGAGTTTGGGGTTTTCAGGTCCTTTAGGGGTGCCAGCCCTCTTCTAGTTTATAACACCCTCTTCCCTGACTCCCCAATCTAGTACCTTAGAAAAGTAGCCAACAATGTGGGCTCCTTGCCTATCTACTTCCGTCAAAATGTAAAAGACAAAGGGCTCCACGTCAAAATACAAGGTCTTGTGATCCAGGAAAAGCTTGGCCAGCAGACACAGGTTCTGACAGTATATCTAGAAGAGGTAGAAACAGGCTTAGCAAGCAAGTGCAGTGCCTCCACTCCGTCTGGGGACCAGCAGCCACTCTGCAGCTCCAAGTACCAGAACACAGAATTCAAAGCAGAAAGGAGACTTCCAGTCAGTGCGGTGGACAGAGGCTCAAAGCCAAGTCCGTTCACACAAACAGTGCCAGAAGAGCTAGACTGACCACAACTTCCTTTTTAGAAAAGAAAAGTTATTATTATTACTTGAGACAGGGCCTCACTGTGTAGTCCTGGCTGGCTTGGAATTTATTTTGTAGACCAGGCTGGCCTCAAATACAGAGAGATCTCCCTGTCTCTGTCTCCTGAGTTCTGGGATTAAAGGTGTGCCATCATGCCAAACCATCTGACACTTTAAAATTTATTACATTTTGTTAGTGGGTAGGGACACACACCCTGGCAGAGAAGGGCAGCAAGCAGCTTCTGGGTGTTGGTCCTCTCCTTCTATTATGGGTTCTAGTATAAATTCAGGCCAGGCTGATAGGACAGCACTGCTACCTGCTGACCCATCTGACCACTTTTCAGAGCCAAATAAAGGATAGGGTTTTTACATGCATAATTGGCTTCAGTTTTTACAGACATTAACTTGTGTTTCAGAGCAGGAAACTGAGGCCCAGAAAAAAAAAAAATGGCTCTGGTTCCACAGCTGATGAATGCCAGGGCAGAAACTTGGCTGGGCCCATGCTCTGTCCCATTCACAGGTAAGCCCACAGCAGTCCATACGCAGCTGCTAAGCAGAAGCTGGTAACTGCCAAATGGAGAGGCCTATAGCTGGAGGAAAATGACTGGGCTTTCTTCTGCCCAGTTAGACACCCCTACTGGGCCTCAGTCTAACTGATGTACACAAAGAGGCCTGCCAGGGACAGCATAAGGAGGGACAAAGCACCTTGCAGTTGGCTGCCTAGTACAGACTTAATGGGTTTCTGGAGCTTGTTTTCTTTTGTTTACTTTAATTTTTAGCTTTTCAAGACAGGGTTTCTCTGTATAGCTTTAGCTGTCCTGGACTTGCTTTGTAGACCAGGCTGGCCTGGAACTCAGAGATCCACCTGCCTCTGCCTTCCTGGAGAGCTGGGATTGCAAGCATGCACCACCTCACCCAGCTATTTTTATTTTTGAGAAAGAGTCTTACTATAGCCTAGAACTCGATCTGTAGAGCACACTGGCCTTAAACCCTCAGATCTGCCTAACTCTGCTTCCCAAGTGCTGGCACTGAAAGGCATGTATGTGCTACCACACCCAGCTCTTTTCATTTCGAGACAGGGTTTAGACAGCCTATAGTCCAGGCTGGCCTCAGCCTCCTGGGTGCTAGGACTATGCGAGTCACCATATGCTGGTGTCTGGATTTTGATGCCTCTTCACATCTGCTCTCTTGTCCAGTCTAGGACTGTGTGAGCCCAGCTCTGCTGGTCTGGTGTGACTTAGGAGCCTGAGTGGGGAAGCATGGTGTTAAGGTTTCCAAACTGACAGAAGGTGGAGCTGGTAAACATGCCCCGTTTCCAGCGGGGGCCCCTTCTGTCAGTCTACCAGTTTGAGCTAAAGGAAGCCAGAACAGCTGACAAGAACCAGGCTCACAGGTATTCCCCTAGCACGGGGACACCTCAGTCCCGGACAGGTCACCAATAACAACAAGTACCTGTTTACTAACAGCCGACTAGATGTAGCACGTGCTACATACCTGACATTTGTGGTCTCATTTGTTCCACCAAACAGATGAGGTAAATAATTATGACTCTTGTCTTATGGATGCGGAAACAGGAACAAAACAGGGTTAGGTAACTTGTCTGAGACTAGCCAGGAAGTGACACAGTGCTCTGAGAAGCCTGTCCTCTTCACCTTGTATACTACATGACCCTTCAGGGGAGACTCAAATACTCGCTAAAGTTCTCTCTCTCTCAGACCTGGCAGGCAGAGGCAAAGCAGGCCCCAAAAGCTCATCCCTGCTCCCAGTGGAATCATTCCTCTGAGAAGCAGGAACTCAGTCCTTAGTCTCAATGGTGATGAGCAGGATGTCTCTGGAAAAGCACTTCCCCTTCCAGGCAAGTATCTTTGGGTCACACAGAAAGAGGAAGCTGTTTAAGAGCAGCCTCAGGCAAGACAGTCTGTCTCCACTCTAGGCTCCGGAACTACCCAAACAGAACCACACATTCAGAAGAGGAGTCCTCAGGAGAAGGGCGATCTGGCCTGAGGAGGTACAGCACAAGCTGTGTTCACTATGCACCAACCCAGGTCAACCACCAAGGAATGTGCGACCTCACTTGGCCCAGAATAGACATGGATACCCACTGAGGGCTGGCCTCTGCCTGGTGGAGGTGACAAGCCAGGCCTATCAGCTCACCTTGTGGTCTTTGCCGTCCACTTCATACACAGAGATGTTGCTTTTGCGGTAGATCTCCTTCCCGGGGGGCTGCCGCCACTGACACTGGCCCTGGGAGGGGGGAGGGAGGACATTTCACACTCTTAAGTTCTCTGCCAAGTGGCTTTCACTCAGCAGTGTGGCCCAGCCTCCGCCTCTTAGTTTTGCTGTCTGCAGGCCCTATGTTCAACACCTTATATTCAGGAGCCCTGCTTCCTCAGCAGTCACAGGACCCACTTCCTAACTCGGGCACAAGGAGGCTAATAACTTGCCAAGTATCACAGCATCTGATTGGAGGTCTGGCCAGGACACCTTTGCCTAAGTCATCTATTCCTTCATTCACCTCGGGTCCCACTCTGGGAAACATCCTGCTTGCTAATGAAAAGCGCCCCCTTCCTGACAGCTGAAGTACAGCACTTCTTCCTACAGGCTGGCATCATCGCTAAGGAGCTGTTTGTTGCCTTTCTGTTGTTATTGTTGCTATTGTTGTTTGGTTTGGTTTTTCAAGATGGGGGTGGGGGTGGGGGTGGGGTTTCTGTGTAGCCCTGGCTATCCAGGCTATCTTACTCTGCAGACCAGGCTGGCTTTGAGCTCTGTTTCCCTCCTTTAAAAAATATTTTGATTTTTAGCTGGGCATGGTTTTACACATCTTTAATCCCAGCACTCCAGAGGCAGAAACAAGTGAATCTCTGTGAATTTGAGGCCAGCCTATAAAAAATATATTTTTTAACAATGTAGGCTCATATGCATGTATATCTGAGTGCAAGTTCCAGCAGAGACCAGTGGAGGGCTTTAGCTCTCCTGGAGCTTGAGTTACAGGTGCCTGATATGGGTGCTAGGAACTGAACTTGGGTCCTCTGTAAGTCTACGCCAGCCTGGGACTCACTGTGTAGCCGAGGGATGACCCAGGACTTCTGATCTTCCTGTCCATCCACTAGGCACTAGGACTACAGAAACACCACTGCACCCAGAGGAATCCAGCTATCTAGTCCCTTGGGATTTCTTCCCCACCGGTCTGCACTCCTCCCGTGGCCCCGGCTGGGTGGCTGCCTCACCAGGTGGAAGCGGTAGCTCTTCTCATACTTCATGTACTTGAGGCAGTACTCGCAGAGCCACAGCTTCGGCTGCTTCCCATAGTCTTCTGGGAAAGGTGAGAAATACCAGGCATCAATTTCGTAGTTCCCAATGTGGATCTTGTCTACATACTTCACTTTGGTGATCTGCAGATGGAGAGAGTAGGGGGCAGGGCACAGCTCAGAGCTCAGCAGGAACAAGGAGAAGGGCAGGGAGGGCCCCATCTGGTCCCCAGCCCTGCTTATTCTTACCGCCTCATGTTCCTTTTCCAAGGCTGCTGTGGTGGGGTCCATCTCTGCATAGGTCTGGGGCAAGAAGTGCACACAGATGAACAGACATGGTTAGACTGCTCCCCCTGCCCTAGAACTCAGTGCTTCTCTACTGCCTTCTGGATCACACAAGAATAATAAATAAGCACAGTACCAATAATCATGACAACATCTCATTTGTTTTACTAGGTTATGAGGCTGGCTCCTCTGAAATCTGCCTACCTACCCACACATCCAGGTGCCCCGGTCTGGACCTCGAGCTAGATAAGCAGGGCTGGGAATCAGGCCTGGTTTGTGGTTAGGTTAGGAGCTTCAGCTGTAGTCAGACAATAATGGTGAAGGCCTTTAATCCCAGCACTCGGGAGGCAAAGACAGGTGGATCTCTGTGAATCTGAGGCCAGCCTGGTCTACAGTGTTCCAGACAGCCAGGGCTACACACAGAAACCCTGTCTTGAACCCCCCCCCCCAAAAAAAAAGCTTCAGCTGTACAGAGTCATCTGTAAGACTCAGGAAATATGGTAAGGCCTGCTGGGCTTGGGTCCTGAACACCAGGCTTCAGCAGCTCCTGAAGCTGCTCCTTGAGGTTCACCATCTTCTCATGGGATGCCAGGCATTAGGTGTCCACAAAGGATGTCTAGGTTCCTTTTCCTCCTGGACATGTCACTGGCCCCTCTCTTTAACATGTCACTGGCCGACTTGCTCTTAAGACTTCTCACCCTGCTAGCTGTCCTAGCCAATGGTCAACAGAATGGATGCCAACTCTTCTATGACATCTCTAGAATCAGTTCCTGTGGAATTTTTTCCTGCCCCACTCCAAATAATCACTGCCACTTTAGGTCTGGACAACTGACTAGGGTTCCTTAAACTTCCTTAAACACCTCAGTCCCACGGCTGTCAAAACCTGTCTTGCAGCCTTCAAGCTTTCACATGTGACGTCACTTCTACCTTCCTTCTCTTCATGCTCTGTGTGTTCACCTCACCTTGGCACAAAGCACAGGTCAGGTGTCCATGACAAAGCTCTGGGAATTATCACGCATTCTGCTCTTTTCCCAAGCATCTTCCAGGAAATCTGACTAGGTTCACTTTTTCTTTTCTTTTTTTTTTTTTTTAAAGATTTATTTATTTTATGTATTTGAGTGTTCTGTCTGCATTTACATCTGCCAGAAGAGGGAATCAGTTCACTTTACAGATGGTTGTGAGCCACCATGTGGTTGCTGGGAATTGAACTCATGACCCTTGGAAGAGCAGACAGTGCTCTTAACTGCTGAGCCATCTCTCCAGCCCTAGGTTCACTTTTTCTGTGTGTTGGGCTGTTATGTTGTCTTTGAGACAGGGTCTCAGTATGCATACCACGCTGCTCTGGAATTTGCCTTGTATTCTAGACCAGCCTTGAACTCCAAGCGTACAGGAAATTTTCATCTCAGCCTACCAAACCTTCCTACCTCAGGTCCTCAGTGCTGTGATTACAGGTATGCACCATCATACCTGGCCTTGACAGATTATTTCAATTTCACAGAGTACTGAACAGACAGGAAGAGATGAGGTCACATGCCTGTGGGCACCTGCCAGCAGCCACTTATTGCAACTGACAAGCACTCTATAGAGATTATTTCATTTAGCCTTCATAATGAATCCCTGACACAAGAGTGCTTGGTATTCCCACTATACAAACGAGAAAACTGAGGTACAAAGAAGCAAAGTTTCTTGCCCAAGGTCACAGAACTGGTATGACAGAGTAGCCTTGGTCTGTGCAATTCCAACAAAGACAGGAAAAACAAGAGGAACAAAGACTTTTCTCTTCAAGTGTCTCTTTATACTGCAATGCTCAATTTTCACAATGGAAAATTCTTGTTTTATTTTTGTGTAAAGAATTACAAAACAACTATTTTTCTTAAATGTTGTAATTTATTTAGAATTAAACATCAGTTAGAACAGGGAATGGTGGTACACACCTGAATCTCAGCACTTCAGAGGTAGAGGCAGGGCAACCCATTCAAGGTCATCTTTGGCTATATACCAAGTTTGAGGCCATGTCGCAAAACAAACATACAAAACAAAACACAAAACAACAAAAACCCCAAACAAAAATCCTCAGTAACTAGGTACACGCTAAAGAACCTTGGGCTACAGAGATGGCTCAGAGGTTAAGAGCACTGGCTGCTTTTCCAGAGGTCCTAAGTTCAACTCCCAGCAACCACATGGTGGCTCACAATCATCCACAATGAGATCTGGTGCCCTCTTCTGGCATGCAGGTGTACATGCAGACAGAACATTGTATACATAATAAATCTTAAAACAAACAAAAAACCTTTCTGATAGTTATCACTCATACATCATTACTCAGTCCACCTGCTGACTGAGTCACTCTCTTCAAGTCAGAGAACAGCATTTTAAACCTGTGTTGTCCAAGAGAACAGCCATTAATCACAAATACTATTTAAATCAAATTCATGACAATTAAAAAACAAAACTTGTAGTAAAATTGGACATGTACAGACTAATACTGAAGTGCCACAGGTGGCTGAAGGACTACTAGCAAAAACATATAGGACAGTTACAACAGAACTTACAACAGTTCAACTAGACAGTGCTACCCTAGACCTCGAGTCTGTCTAGCTTAGGGTATCAAAAACATTTCCTACTAAAGCATATTGGCATTGTAGCCAGTTGAAATGTGTGTGTATGTATACAAGCATGGATTACAAGTCAAACAAAATTACGTCAAAACAATACTTACCCAAGAACGTGGAAAACAAAGATATTGTCTACATTATCCTATTTCTTTCCTCTGTTAAAAATTTTTAAAGGGGTGAAGAAATGGCTGAGAAGTTACTGAGTATTTACTGCTTTTGCAGAAGACCTGAGCTTGGTTCCTAGCACCCACATGCCAGATGGTCGCGCACAGCTATTTTTAACTCCAATTCCAGGGAATCCAATATCCTCTCCTGAACACTGGTCACTGGACACACATACATACACGCAGGTGACACTCATACACATAAACCTAAAAAGCTTTTGCAAAGTGTAAATGTTATACATACCACACCAAAACAAACCTCCAGCCTGTGACCACACTGCGGCCAGAGTGGGAAAGGCCCCGCTGCACTGTGTTCACCGGAGGCGCAGAAGGAAGGGCAGAACTACGATGAGGCGGCTCATGGCCACTGCAGTGCCTTAGCTTGGAAATCAATGCAGGACTGTAGGTCTGCTCCCTTTTCTGACTTTCTCAGAAAAGTGTAACTTTCCTTTTTCTTTCTTTCTTCTCTCTCTTCTCTAAGCATATTTTCCTTAGACTTTGGGATTAGCCCCAACATTTTGGGCTTCCTTACTCCTTTCTGTAAAACCTTGCTCCCTGCCATGTATCTGACTTCTGTGCCATTTTAAACAGCATGATTTACAGGCTGCCTGCCCTGGGGTTCTTACCATGGCACACACATACCCCCAGGTACCATCGATACACATACACACAAACACACACATATCATGCATATACATGTATACATTAAATAAAATTTTTGAAAAAAAAATGTTTTTTTTTTCTTGAAGAATCCTGGTGCCGGATGTGATGGTGCACACCTTTAGTCCCACTCAGGGGGCAGGAAGATCCCTGTGAGTTTGAGGCCAGCCTGGTCTACAAAGTGAGTCCAAGACAGCCAGGGTTACATAGAGAAACCCTGTCTCAAAACTAAACAAAACAAAAGACTCCTGGTGTTGGATACCTTTGTAGGATGTATCAAAACCAAGGTTAGGGTCTGGCCCCTAAGAACATGTACTTCCCAACGAGATTTCTAAACTTACCTGTGCTTCCTCTGTAAACTAAGATGGCTCAGCAAAAGAAAACACCAGTGAAAGGAGAGAATGAAGTATGTTTAACCTAATACTTGGGCTCGCAAACCCAACATTTGGCATAACTCCTGCGTACCTTCTAACCAGCTGTTTAACTCTGACATGTTAACTTCTCTGAGCCTACTTCCTCATGTACAAAAAAAGTAATTTCCCCTGTGGTAACAGCTGGGGAATATTTGATGAGATTTTATAGCACTCAGCTTGAGGTGGATAATGAAGTAACTGGTATAATTTTGTTTTCTTTTTTTTCCCTTTGGACTTTAGGTTCCAGAGTTCCAGTCTAACTGTACCATTTCCTTGCTGTGAGAAGAGCAAGTCTCTTCTCTCTATAAGCTAGGTTTTTTACATATAAAGAATAAACGAGAAAAAAAACCCTGGCACACTATAAGATTTCAAGCAGGAGTTGCTATGGTTTTGTTACTGGGCTTGGCAGAAGCAGCTGGGCCTCCTGGGCCCTGGAGAAGGGAAGGGGCCAGGACCTTCTGCACGTGGTTGATCTCGTCATGCTTTCGTTTTTGGTTCCGAGTGATCTTGCGCTCAGGCTGCTCTGCCAGCTCACTCAGGTATTTCTCAGAGTTCTTTTGCACGGCATCCTTCACCGTCTTGGTCAGTGCTAGTCGGTTCTTGTCCACCCATTCGTCCAGTCGCCTGTTAACTGTTAAGATGGACCATGAGGGACTGCCCTGCTACCTCTTCCTTCCACCCAGGCCCAGTGGCCCCAAGCACTCACAGCCCACATAATGTACATAGAATTCTTCTCGGCCCTCCTGGTCATTCACTCTTGACTGGATCACTTCTGCTGAATCTATAAAGAAAAAAAAGGTGAGGAATCTGATGCACTGAGGGGTAATTTCCAGATCCACCTGTCCACATCTGCTACAACACTTATACACCCAGTAAGGTGAGCCAGGTTAGGACTTTTTGGGGCGGCGTGTGGGAGGGTGAGGCTTACAGAGGGCCAGAGATTTCAAAACTGAGAAAATCTGGTATTTAAATGTTTAGGTGTAGCTTCAAAATCAGTCTCATTTAGTCATTCACTTATTTGGGGGACGTGAGAGCTGGCTGGGGATTAAGTCAGTTTAAGCTTATATATAATTCTTCCTTTACATTCCCTAAATGAATGCAACTGACCACATTATTTAAAATTTCTAAAACTTATTTCTTCATCTGGAAAGAACAGTGCCTACCTAAAACAGTAAGAGAGGCTTTAAAGTTTTTAACACAGTGACAGATACCCAGTAGACCTGTCTAGAAAATAATCCTTGAGCCGGGTGTGGTAGCCCACACCTGTAATCCCAGCACTCAGGGAGGCAGAGGCAGGTGGATCTCTGTGAGTTTGAGGACAGCCTGGTCTACAAAGTGAGTCCAGCACAGCCAAGGTTATAGAGAGAAACCTTGTCTTGAAAAAAAAAAGAAAAAGAAAGGAAAGAAAGAAACTAATGCTGCTTGTTTGGCCCTGGACACAGAAAGCAGACACAGCTATCTGAATCACAAGAGATCTTCCTCTCTAGCATTTTCCCATTAACACAGAACGTCAGGTAATTTTAAATTACTTATATGACAGTGGGCACTACGTGTGTACATACCATTACACATATTATGTAATTATATAACATTACATATATAAGCATTTAAGTTTGCCTGGGTCAAGAATGGGATCACCATAGGAGATAAAGTTCAGAGATGAGCAAGAGCTAACCAGGAAAACATGAGAAAGGTTAATGTATTCCAAGAACAAAAGGCACATAAAGCCATTGTCTTTGGAGGGCAGAGCAAGGCCTGGTCTGACAACAGCCCTTGCTAGGAGTGCCTAGAAACCGGAGGGGTCTCTCAGACATGACTGACACTTTAAGGAGTTCCGCTTTGTTTTTGGGACAAGGTCTATGTAGTCCTGGCTCTTCTGGAACTTGCTATGCAGACCAGGCTGGCCTCAAACTCAAAGCCATACCTTTCCAGTGCTGGAATTAAAGTGTGCACCACCATGCCTGACATTTATTCTTTAAAATTACATGTATTTATTTTATTAGAGGGTGCAGGGTATTCTATGTGACGTTCAGAAGACAGCCTTCCTTCCTGGGACTAGAATTCAGATCATCAGAGTTGGTGGCAAATTCCTTTACCTGCTGAGCCATCTCAGCTTGGAGTTTATTTTGAAGCCAGAAGCTTGGGCTTTATTTTGAAGAGGTAAAAGGAAAAGGAACATAAGTTAAAGGGAAACGTGTTTTTATGAATTGGACTACCTTTGCTGGTGATGGAAGGGGCGAGAGATATGTAAAGACAGACAAAAACAAAACAAACCACCAGGAAAGGAACAGAGAGATAGCAAGAAAAATCTAACTTGAAATCGGACTAGAATGAGTGATCATACGCTAAGGTCGAGATCACCTTACTGGTGGCTTTACAGGCGACACCAAGCAGAATTCCCGACACAGCTCCCGAGAAATTCTCTGCCTTCTTACCAGAGTCACCACCTCGCCCCAAGACTCCCAGGCCCCAAACTCCGCCCTCCGGAGCACCCATTCTAAGCCCTGCCCCAGCCCTAAACCCCGCCTCTAGGCCCTGGTCCCCGCCCTCACGCCAGGTGCTGTCCGGCCGCCGGCACAGGTACGTTTCTCCGATCTCCACGGTGACTTCTGGTTCGCCACGCGCCGGAGTCGGCGGAGAGACGCGGCCCGGGGACCGGGAAGGCCCCTCGACTGCTGCATTTTCCCCGGGCCCGGGCTCTCCCTCCCCCACAATCCCCGAAGTCGTTGCAGCAACTGCGGCTGTTGCTCCCTGTGCCGCCATTGCGGTACCGGAAGTGGTGGCGGAGACTGAGTAGACTGACGCTTTTAGTTCCGGGTCAGCGGGGGAAGGGGCGGGGATGGGGGCGGGTAGACGCTCAGTGTTAGAGGCGGAGACTGTGACGTAGCAAGAGCTTTAGTTTGGTGCTTTGTTTTGCGTAGGGCTGTGGTGTTTACGTGCCACAAGTCAGTCCAATCTTATTTTTTCTTTTCGTTTTTGTTTGTTTGTTTTAAAGACAGGGACTTATGTAACCCTGACTGACTTGGAACTTGCTAGATAGACCATACCGGCCTCGAACTCACAAGAGATCCACCTGCCTCTGCTGGGATTTAAAGACGTGCACCACCACGCTCGGCCTCAGTCCAGATTTTGTTGGGTTTTTGCTGTGCGTTTTGACACAGGGTCTCATGTAGTTCAGGCTGTCTTCTTCCGGCACCACCATGGCCTGCCCTTCTCATTTTTTGAGAAAGGCTCTCCTCAGTGGCTAGCCTGAAACACGTTGACCTGGTGGCAGTTTCCTGGGGATTACAGTTGTGTGCCCTCACAGCTTGGGATGCTGGGGACCAAAACCCAGGGCTTCATGTATTCTGCCCACCCTGGGTTTACCTCTTGTTCAGGGTGGAAGTAAAAGCAGTTGAGACAAGGAAAGAATAGGTGTGCCAAATTAACTACCTTCAGAATAAACTGGGTTTTTGTTGTTGTTGTTGTTTTTTAAGAATTACATGTGGCCCCCGCAGGGTTCAAACCCACAGTGTGACCAAGGATGACCTTGAACTCTCATCCGACTTCCACCTCCCGAATGTTGGTTAGGATGTTACCACACCAGGGTCATGCAGTGCTAGGGATTGTACCTGAGGCTTCATTAATGCTAGGCAAACTCTACCACTGAACTACATCTCCAGCCAGGGGCCCTTAGCAGGAATACAATAAAGAGCTGTCTTGGCAGTGGCTGAAGACTCTTGAGTAGTGGCCCTTTCTCTGAGTACAGTGTACCGGTTCCCTGAGATTCAGTAAAACTTAAGCCGTGTATACACATGGTTAAGTCATAGCGTTATATAAACCATATAACAATATCCGAGTTAAACTTTTACATAATTTATTATATATTTATATTTTATGTGCATGGGTGTTCTGGCTGAATGTATGTCTCGGTGAGGGTGTCAGATGCCCTGGAACTGGAGTTACAGACAGTTGTGAGCTGTGAATTGAACCCAGGTACTCTCTCCAGCCCCCAGGTTAAACTTACTGGTAGATGAAGTGGAGCAAAACACAGGTCTAATTTTCTATTTAATGTCACCTTTCCTTCCACCTTCCACAGTGGTCAGGAAAGGTGTGTTTTCCTTCATTCCTGTGTTGCACCTAACACCTCTGGTAGCCCGCCCAGAGCATATTATTTTAGGAACTGTAGATGAAAAGGATAACCATTTGATGTAAGAGCTTTGCAGAGCTGAGAAATAATAGCAATTAGGAATTGGTATAAACACACACACAACGGGAATGGTTAAAGGGCTGGAGAGATGGCTCAGAGGTTAAGATTACTGGGTGCTCTTCCAAAGTTCCTGAGTTCAATTCCCAGCAACCACATGGTGGCTCACAACCATCTATACTGATATCTGCTGCCCTCTTCTGGCATGCAGACACACATGCAGGCAGAACACTGTATACATAATATATAAATAAATCTTAAAAAATAAAGAATTGCTGTGCGCCTCTGAGATGGTGCCCACTAGTTTTTGACCATCTTTATACAAGCTACCATTAAATTAGCTTCCTAGCGAGATGGGTTTTTTTAGGGATGATAATGCCTGTCACCCAGTTTCTCACCAGCTGGCTTACTGGAATAAGTTTCCTTTTCTCAGCCCCTGTTGTTTAAACTAACTGGCTCCCGCCACATGGGGAGCTTGTCCCCATGTACTGGTAACTTTTACAATAGCACACAGCATAGTATGAGGCAGAGTAGGAACTCGGTAAACGTCTCATTTGGACGTTCCGTTCCCTAAACGTTCTTTGACTCATAATTTGGTCATCAGTCTTCCTAACAGTTCTTGAGAGGCAGCTTGAGGTTGGGACTCAGAAACTATGGCCCAAAAAATATCTGAGCACTGGGTATCTTTGAGAGATGGCACTGGGACTAAAGAAATCCTTTCTTTGTGGGGCATTGTGGGGGGGAAGCCAGAGATGGCTCGGCAGTTAAGAGCACATACTGCTCTTGCAGAGGATCTGGGTTGTTTCCACATCCCTACAGCTGCCTGTAACTCCAGCTCCAAGGAGATCCCACACCCCTCTGGACCCCACAGGGACTTAAAGTAGCTGTTATGTTATGCAGGCAGTTCAGCTGGCCTGCCTTCGGGGGTCCTTAGGGACCACCTAGGCTAGGTGCTCCAGATAAAACCCACCTGCTCACTCTCTACTTCGGTTTCTCTCCCAGGGGGCTGTTATTATTCCCCCCCCTTCTCCTATGCTCTCCCACTGACCCTCTCTGTCTCTTCCCCCAAATAAATCTTTTCCTATTTAGATCTGTTGAGTGCGTGGTTTTTTTGTTTTTGTTTTATATCATTACAGTAACATGCACAAACCCACAGGCAGACACACATACAAAAATAAGAGAGAAGAAGGCACTGGTGGAAACTGGTTATTTTGCTGTTGGGCAGTAAAGAAGTTCAGGGCAGGATAGACAGCACCATCAGGCATCCTAAGAAAGAGAAGACACAACCAAAAGACTCCTCCCATTGACCCCTTTCAGGATTGTTACTGCATTTGCCCAGGCTTCTGTTACCTCACTTGCTCACTTGACATTTCGCCTGACATCTTCAGTTACAGATGATGTCCTTCCTAGATAAGGATTAGCCCAGGCACAGTAAATTTATTTAGATCTAAGCATCCAAGCACAACACACCTGTGCTGCCTTCATGCCAATGTCCCTTGTTATTCCAACATGCAGATTCAATTGTTCTTCCTAGAGCGGTGTGGGGACTGTACTCAGGCCAGTTATTATCGTGTGTATGACGTGCATGCAGGTCAGAGGACTCTTCAGGACTCAGTTCTCTCCTGCGAGGAGTTCCAAGGTCACAATTTAGATTGCTGAGCCATCTCACCGGGTCCAGCTCCCTTTTGTTGCTGCTGATATATCTGTGTTATACTCCTGTGTGAGCACACCAAGTGCCAGGATCACAGGTGTGTATCTGTGAAATGTGTGACTTTGTTGTTCTTTTAATGTTTTCTTTCCATACAAACACTAACCAGTTCTTCTAAGTCCCTGCCAGCTCTTCTCCCAGTTTCCAGCCCACCCCTTCAAACGTTTCTCCCAACTGTTCCTCTATCGGTTCCCCAACCGTGTGCTTAAACAGTCCCTTCTCCCTCCCAGTTTTCCCAGTACTAGGAGCTCCAAACTGTAACAACTGTTGTGGCGTGTCTGCTCAGCTCAGCCTCTCCTGGCTCAACTGTCACCAGCTGTCTTCTCTTCTCACTCTGCTAGCCCAATTCACGCCACCTGTGTCCTAACCTCACTCTGCCTAATCTCTTCTCTCTTCTCTAACCCTGCTCAATCTTCTTTCTTCCTGCACCAACTGTTTTCTGCAACCTGAACCCTACTCCAGTCTTTCTCAGCCACTGCTGGCTTTTTTTTTATATCCTCTCCTGTTCCCAGAAATTCCAACACTGAAAGTCTTAGGGTCAGCTGGGGATCCTTTAAAGGGTTAGGCACACAAAATAAATCACGTTACATTTTGCCCCCATTTGGGTTTAGCTACTAATTATGCAGTTTTGAAGCTGCCCTGGGTGCTCCCTGTGGCCATGATAGTATTGCGATCTTGCTTCTCCATTCTTTCCAACGTCTTTTCCAGGGTTCTCAGGTGTCTGATGTGATCTGTTGATCTCTCAGGAGCATATCCACAGCTGAGATTAGAACCCAACTGATGCTTCTCTTTCCTGTAATTCAGGTACTACTGCCTGAACTTTGTTTTTCGAGACAGGGTTACTCTGTGTGTAGTTTTGGCTGTCCTGGAACTTACTGTGTAAACCAGACTGGCCTCAAACTCACAAGAGATCCACCTGCCTCTGCCTCAAGAGTGCTGGGATTAAAGGCATGTGCCACCACTGCCTAGATGCTTACTGAACTTTTTATACTCCTGGACTGTCTTATCTTCTAGCACCTGGTGTTCTGGAGTTCCTCACTGAAGTCCTTTAATCTCCACCTCTTGCTCTGTGAACCTTTGGGTTGCAACCCCAATTTGGGCATGCAGGATGTGTTAAAAGTCCTGATCATTTGCCTGTTGTTGCTTTGCATTGTGGATGACTCTGTATTTCAGGAGACCAAAGTCCTGCTCATAGACCTGTCAGTGGTTAGGTACTAAATGTTTCTTGTCCAGGCTTTTCTGGCTGGCAGGGAAAGGCGGTGGCTGGTCAGGCTTTCTTCTTTGCTCTTTCTGGGTCAGTGGTCAAGGTTTTCAGAAGGCCTCTCCTGCTTAACTCTGAGCTTTATTAGTTTTTATGGTATCCATAGTTTTTCCTTTCCCGTGGAAATACAAACAAATCTATGTCCCCAACACAAAACATTTGCTGAGTTCCATTCTGATACTAACACATCCCTATAGAACATAGGTTGCTTTAATTTCAGGGTTTTTTTTTTTTTTTCTACAACCCAGTGTCTCTCTGCTGCTGTTGCTCCTTTCTTGTTAACGTTCAGAAAATGTAAAATTAACACAGTACTATTTAGTCTATCCCTGGGAGTCTTTATTCTTCCTTTTTGTTATATAAGAATTTCCTTTAAGGTTCAATTAGCTATTTCTACAACAACTTGTCCTGTAGGATTGTATGGTATACCTATAATGTGCTTTATATTGTAATATGCAAAGAATTGCTTCTTCTTAATGGAGACATATGCAGGGGTGCTGTGAGTCTCACTTTGTGCTTTTTATGGTATCCCCATAATAGCCGTTACTTCTAGTAAATGAGTAACTGCAGAATCAGCCTTTTCAGAACTCAAAGCAGCTGCCCGTTGAAACCCCAAGTATGTATCAATGATATGGTGTACAAACATTAGTTTT